TGAGAAAAAGAAAAAATGCTCAGACTGAGCAATATGTATGCTAGTTTGAAACTGTAGCAATTGTAAAGAAAATGACATTTCAACAGCTATTTGTAAATCAGCTTAAATAGTATAATATTAACTGACATTTAACTTGTTGATATTATCTGAAGAGTGTCATTATTTGATAGTTATTCAGGCACGAGGAGCACATATTTTCTGCCACTGGAGGGCACTGTTGAAGCAAATACAAGCCTCTAACATCTAATCTGCCATCACTGTCCAAGGGACGGTTTAACCAGAACCCTGCCTTGGTAAAAAAAAATGGGGGGTGGGGGTTGTATCTCCTTAAACTGCTGTTTGTAGCAGGAACAGCTGGAGTAAGGTCTCCATTTTCCCAGCCTTTTTGTGTTTGGCTGGGGCCAGGCGCTTAAGAAAAGGATTGGGGAAGGAGGGTTTGAAAGCACCCTGTAAGCGTTGTCTGTGAAAGTGTGTGTGTGTGTGTGTGTGTGTGTGTGTGTGTGCGCGTGGTCAATTGTGTGTGTGATTCAACCTAAGAATATGTATCCCTCTCCTTGGAGATCTCTCGTCCAACCGATATTTTGTTTCTCGCCGGACTGTATTTACTGTGTGAATGTCTGTCCTGAATTTCAGGCATAGATATGCAAATCACACTGGAGTTATTAATCAGTGTGTCACAGGGATTATGCAAATGAGTAAAAGAGCGGCGAGAGGAAAGAGAAGAGTCCGGATTTCAGCAAACTTGTGTTGGCATTTATCAAAAGGAGATAGTTTTGTTTGAAAGGGTCGAATGGAGGCTGTGATCCTCGTTCTCCTTGTTCTGACCTGACGCAGTGAAAAGGTCGTCTTTACGTCCAGAGTCGTTCCACGTGGATGATCTGGAGGCCTGTCAGAGTGATGATGAGCCTGCTGTTTCACAGGGGAAAGGCAGGCTACACGCTAATATTGATTTCCCTTTTGAATATCTCAGCCAACACTCTTGACGTGCAGCAGATGTCGAGTTGACAGCTTGCACCAATATGAGAAACCTGTGTAAACATAAATGCAAAACAACAGGAATGTATAATAAAGTGTAAAGAATTTTTGTTTTGTTAAAGTGCCATAGCATTTTTTGGCACCGCCGAGAAAGAATGCGTATAGGGCCCAACATTTTCCAAACGTAATCTTGATACAACATTTTCATTAAATTGGATTTAGGTGGTGACAGACATTTATTTTTGGTTTGTTATTGTAAATTATCAGTGATATACTGGGTCCTATGCTACGATGCTTACACGTTTTTAACACACATGCAACACCTATGTTGGCTTTCCAATTAACACCCGTTGTTCTTGTGTTTTATTGTGAAGCCTAAATTGTGTTCTACAAATAAACTGCACTATTTATTGCTGTAATCTTATGACATTGAAGAATATGCTGGTATAATTGATGCTTAACATGCTTAATACTTTATTCACTGCACATTTACAAGTTTTGATTATCCCTCACCTGTCTCATTCTGTTGTTTTCAGCTCGAAAAATAGAAGACATACTACATTTAAAAGCTAATGAGTTGAATATTGTTCTCAATTTTCTTCAGCAGTCATATTAACTGTAGGCTATATGGCCATAATATGTCAAATGTGTGTAGTTTTCAGCTTGTTCTGGAGTTCTGCCTTCAAGCGGCCATGTTTCTGACGAATGACAGAAAAGTTTTAGGAACAGGGTAAGTCAAAAATAATAACACTTTTACGGAACAGGTCATGGTGACAAAACAAGTTGCCATTTCAACTTAATTTCCTACCTGCTCTATGTCTAAATAAGCAACTGTTTGCTTTCTAAATTGCCATAACAAAACAAAGCAGTCTCGCAGGGAATACTTTCTCAAATCCAATGAAGGAATAGGTCATGAGGTTCAAAGACATTCTACTCCTTTCAAAAGTAGAAAGAAAGTAATATGTCTCTGAGTTTCTGAACAGTATACCGGATGTGTGTTTCCACAAGTGATCCCTGCTTTTGAAGACCACTGCTACCCCTTAAAGCCTGATTCTACTTGTTCCTAATCTACCTGTGGGACTTTTCAGATTGGAAATAGATCACACGAGGAAAGCTGGGCTACCTGCAGTGATTCTTTCCCGCCGCGGTGGATGATTATTGGCAGGTTTCGGGGCCCTACTGCGAAGGTTGAAGGAATGCATTTCTGCAGATGACTGTGAGGCAAGGAAAGATTGAATTCTCACTGCCTTCTGTGTGTGTGTGTGTGTGTGTGTGTGTGTGTGTGTGTGTGTGTGTGTGTGTGTGTGTGTGTGTGTGTGTGGGGGAAACAGGTGAGTCTCCTAGAAATAGGCAGTGATAGATGAGGTACATGGAGGAAGACAGCTACCCCTGCTCTCCAGCCTGGCTGAATCAGGAAACTGTCTGCCAACTAAATGCCTCTCCCTCCAATCCCCCCTCCCTCTCACGCTCTCATTATAATTTTCTCCCTTTCCTCTTTGACTCCTCTTTTCCTCTGCTTACGAATCAATCGTTTTGTTAGTGCTTACCAGACAACAGATCTTTAGTCATTATGAGATTGTGCTTTATATCACTGCTTAATGAGCACTACACCCACTGCAAGAATTCCAGACAGCAGCTAATGGTCACGAAAGCTACACATTCTTCCACTTGCTTTTTTCCTCTGAGTATGCATGACTACATCTGAGTTAATTAAAAATGTTTGCATACTGTCAATTATACAACTGGATGTAATTGTTTTCCCACAAAATATTTGTATCTAGTCGAAATATATACTGCTTACATAAAAGTGGATAAAAAGACGTTACTGAAAACACTGCAACGGATTTCCTCCTTTTTTTATTTATCTGTAAGTCACAAGTCTTTATTTATTTGTTGGGTGGATGGGAATCAGGAATAAGTATAAGATCATTGAGCCAGGCCAAAAGTCACCTAATGACAAGTGACAGCCATCTTTGACCGTTGACCTTTAAAAAGTCTCCTTTTTTTTAAACCCACTTCACCAAAGCAAATGTTGTTTTTCCGTCCTTTTCGGTTGTAGCTCTCAGGCCTCTTATTCCAGCCTGTGGGTGCTTCTTTATTCATTGCTCGGATAAATGTACATGACCCCTTAAAATAACAGGAGCCGGCCCAGAGGGCACACTTGAGCGATGTGACATTCCAGCTAACCTGAGATGACTTTTAAAGAATGGATAAGTGAAAGACAGTAAAAGGATGGAAGGAAAGAATGGAGAATGACGGGTATGGCAGAATGGACACAATCAAATCATTGTAAGCAGATAGGTTAAGCAGAAATGGTTAGAGACAACAAATTAGACAAAATAAATGAAATAACGTCAAATAACCTTTGAAGATTCCAGCTCATGATTTGACAGCTTATTTCTTTGTCTGGAAGAAGGGCTTGTGTGTGCACACACTTAACATTCCCCCTAAAATAGTTTGATCTTTTCACAGTAATTGAGACGTACACACTTGACGGCTCATCATTCTATAAAAACCTAAGTGCAGTGTTGGAATTTGCATGCAGCGACGGCAAGGTCTTCTGTCAAACACACAGGCGAGCACTCATCAAGGATTCTGTATTTAATCAGTGGAAGTTAATGCTTTACAAACAGTCTCTGGAAAATGTTAAGCAGAGTTCCTAATTAGCTGATCGTGAAGTCATAATCACTTCAGAAATAAATTATGCTGAAGGTATTTCAGTGGGCTAATGACCTGCATCGGTCCTCACAGTCTGCCTCTTCTACTAAGCTGTCATGGTCAAAGAGGAGCAATGAATGGCACTTGATCTGTCCTAACCTCTTTCTAGTGGCTCTGTGGGTAAGTACCTTCAACTAATATAATATATGCTCTATGTTCACGAATCAAATAAGCTCATAGCTCGTTGTCATTTGGATATTTTATGCTTGCTCTACTCAACGCTATTTACTAAATGTAAGTACATTTAGACGTTTGTTGTATTTGTCATTATTTGTACAATGCTTGGGCAATACTGTTTGTCATTATGGTAATGTGAATAAAGCTTTTTGAATTGTGGTGTGATGTGTTTGATTGATTTAGTATTGCCATATTTTTTGTATTTTGATCTAGCATTTAGCATATAGAATGCATTCCATATATTCATGAATTAGGTAATTGAGCACCTAATGATAAACGATAATATGATAATCACACAATTATTACACAGTGTGGTTTTCATGTGTTAACAAAAAGTAAACATGTTGCCTAATTAATAACAATAATCACCAGATTACATTATGTTCCAGGCTCCTATAGGTGCTCACTGGCCTAGCCTACTTGGATGTTCAGTAAGGTGCAAAAGTACTCGAGTAAATGTACTAAGTTCAACCACTGTCCACAGCTAATGATAGCATTAATGGCAGAGGTGGGAGAAGTCAGATCTTGTACTTGAGTAAAAGTATAAGTACTAGAGGGTAGGAATACTCTGTTACAAGTAAAAGTCCTGCAATCAAAATGTTACTCAAGTAAAAGTACAAGAGTATTAGTATCAAAGATGACTTAAAATACCAAAAGTAAAAGTAATCATTATGCAATTTTTTTTTATAATGGTTGATGTATTGATGTGTTTATCATAAAGGTGGAACTAATTTGAATTACTTAATTTATTGCTGGGTAGAATGTAAACTTATTCCAGGTGTAACTAAAGTCTAATTTAAGTGTTGATGATATTGTTTATCATTAATCTATATCTGCAAAGTAACTAAATGACATGATGTACCACATAAATATAGTGGAGTAAAAGTACAATATTTACCTCTGAATTGTGGAATTACAAAGTAACATAAAATGGTTACACACCCAAGTAAAGTAGGCCTACAAGTAGCCTACCTCAAAATTGTAGGCTACTTAAGTACAGTACTTGAGTAAATGTAGGCCTACTGAGTTACTTCCCACCTCTGATTAATTATACCGTAATTAATTGTATTACTTTTCACCTGTGGGTCTTCGGATAGCCCCGCTTTGATGACGTCAAAGTAAGTGCCGGACTTTTCGAACCTGAGTTGAGAAGAAACTACTTTCTGTCTGCGTTTTTTCTGGCTAGCTAAACAAGACGTTGTTCTCTATAGACAAGTAAGTAATTCATATGCATTTTAATTAGGCTGTCTTCTTGCCTTTAAAAAAGTATTGGCTATTTCCTTCTTAATAGGCGCTTATTCATCCTTAAGGCGAGACACGGCAGGCAAAAACATCGTTTTTCAAGTACTGGTCAATTTTGAGATTTTGTGCTATTTTGATTCCATAACATGTTTTCTTTCAGGCTTTTGGAAGGAAAACGTACAAAACACACATTTAAGTGTTTATTTTACTATAGTTTGTCTATTTGCGTCTGTAGATTTCTCCTAAATTCACTAAAAGTTAGCATTCTAACGTAACATAAAGTACCGCGACCGCTGTGTGCACCATGTCAACAGAGGTATCGCTGGAAAGCTCCGTCTCTCCTGCACAATCTCATCGGATCCAAATATGGTCATTTCCTTTGTATCAGCAACCAATCGTGAAAGCACAAAGGGGTCTTAAACCAAGAAACGAAATCTCATTGGCTGGTGTCAATTTCTGTCAACGTGATTCGTTCAGATGCGTCACGTGGTGTGCTAAAACACTTCCTGGTTAGCTTTCAGCTAGAAATTGAAATCTCAAAATGCCAAAAGAACGGCGAAAAAAACGTTCACAGAGAAGACGACAACAATTGTCACTTGCACGAAGCAAGGTTATAAAAAAAAAAATGACCCTGAACATGAAATACCTTCACGGAGTGCGTCGATGCGCAAGCTGTCATCCAAAGAACAGGAGGGTTTAGCTAGCGCCTCACTGCAATCTTTAAAGGTCGTTTTCTCAAAATGAGTTTTTTCTCCTACTCTGAGTTCGAAATTTCAACTTCAGTAGCACGTACATACACCAACCTTTCAGTTATATTCCTATCAATATTATGAAGGCTTTTACTGAAGGGTTTGTTCATATATAATTCATAGCCTGAATTATACAACATTGTATACCTAAAAACTTGGCGAAAATGGATATTTTAGAGCTGTTGACAGTATTTTCTGATTTATGGAATGATAAAAAGAGATATCCAATATCCCTTCTGTAAAAGCCTTAGATACTAATATGACTACAAAATGAAACAAGCATTTTGAATCTGGCTATATCCAAAATTCAGATTTCGATTCCTGAAATGTGTTAAAATATGTGCATATTTAATGAGATAATGGTTAATCTGCATATTTAAACATGCTATTTCAGAAAACTTGTAATACAAAAGACAATTGCCTTATTGTAAGTAATTAACTGGAGAAATTTCTAGCTGATATCTTTAAGTTAAAAAAATTACCCTATTCACCTGGGGTGTCTCGCCTTAATTAGGCTTAATATATACCAAAACATGGCGGCTCTTAGCGTTTTCTTTTGCTAAGTGTGTTGTGCAGTGTTAGCATTGGAACCAGGCTAACATTACTGTTTATTTATTTGTATGTTGAGTTTAGTTTAAAAGCTGGAAACTTGCTTTTTGTACAAGGCTATTAGCATTTGTTGCTACGGTTTTATATGTTAGTGGGCTAAAGAAGCTAAAGCTAGGCTGTTGCTGGTTGTTTGCTAATTGTTTACAGCTGTGGCTAATTGTTTACAGTGGCAGTCTGAAGGAAGATATCAGATAGAAGGAATGACACCAGCTGCTACCAGGTGACACATTTTTGTTGAACTAGCAACCATACATTGACATCAAAAACTTGTAATGTAATTTCCCTGTATACTTTTGAAGTTGGTAGTAGCCACGAACATGTATAGTAATATACAAGTAATATTTAGTAGGCCTAATAATATAATACAAAATAAAGCTGTGGTTTTGTAATTGTTTTTTTAGTTGTATAATGTTATTGAAAAATTGCAATATATTACTCCCCCCTTTTCTTGTTAAAATTGTGTTAATTACTGACAATGGGACCGTGTTGTTGATACAGCTAGATACATATTCAGTGTTTCAAAATATACATCTTAAGTTTTCAACCCGATACATAATTGTACCAAAGGTTGTGAAAACATGTTTGCACGCCAACATTAGAATTGACCAGGTACAATACAGTTTTAGAAGATTGGAAAAACACAATGCTGCATTAAAACTACCATATTCATTAAATAGGTGGGACAGTTACGTTTAGCACTGCAATTATCAATATGTCCATTATCAATCAATCTATTCTATGAATATAGTTCAACTTGTCCTAATAGGTAGTCGATAAATAAGAAAATATAAATTACCCTCCCAAAGTTCCCAGAGGCTGAGTTAAATGAATGCTGATTAACTCTGTCTACAGACTAACTGCTGAGTTGACTATTGGTTTCAGCACTACTTAATTTGTCAGGAAACGTTGAAAATAGTACAAACTGCACTGAAATATGGGTCATGTTTGGTTGTTTATGTAGTCTGAGTGTTATGCCTTTTGCAAATAATTAACATAACCTGCAAGAGTCACTAATGTTTAATGCTCAGGCTTCATACGTGATAAAGCAGCGTGAACTCTAATGACTAGTTGCAATCAATGCATCTCTCAAGTGTGATTCCAAATAAACGTGTAAAACGCCATCACTGCGCCAAAATCACTTTGGGAACCAATGTGTTGCAAACCTCTTAAATCGCACACTCGTGTCTATAGTGTTTCACAGAGGATTGTGTAAGTTAATGATGAATGTTAGCAGTCCTCATGTCCAGAAAGATTTCCAACAGAATATCAGAAATGCATCAAGCGACGGCTGCACTTCCTGGAAAGCTTTCTCACATGTTTCTCTTGCTGTTCTAACATACACAAAACACACACACATAAAACACACACAAACCAGTAGAGAAAGCTTTGATTGGTGTTACTGGCATCAACTTATAGAGTCTGGCCCGAAAGGAAAGAGCTCGTACACAGCCTTTACAAGTGAAATGAAGCAGCTTTGCATTTTCTGTAAGACGATGTGATGCTAATCATTTGAATGTGGTTGATGGTGGGATCACTCCACAATGTATTGATGTGGGCAGAAAATGCTCATATGTGCATCATTCATTCATTTGGAGCAGACTCCCCGGCTCAATATCAAGCAAAATAAGAATGATCCACATGCTGACTTACAATTTCGTTTTTAGAATGCAACACTTTCCCTTATTTGTTTGAAATTATTGAATGCATTGAATGTATTTCACAGTGAGAATAATAGTCAAATTACATAGAAAAATCATCTCAGTAGAAGGCCTGCAACACCAACTGGGGCATGAGATTTGAAATATGTGTTTATCAGGAAGTGAGGGATCTGATATTCAGTAGTATTCTGGAACCCAGGGTTCTTGTATCTTCAACCAAGAATCCATGGCCAAACATGTCTCACACTTGCAGTATGGCTGGGCAACACTTAATAATTGAAGTACACTATTTTTCAAAATGCTTGAGAAGAGATAGATCATATAGCTGTAACAATAGTGTTTCTGGCTGTATTCAATGTAACCTAGAATTAGTTTACAACACATTATGAATTGATCAATAAAAACAAGCAAAACAATTAACCATGTCACTTAAAATGGTTTAGTAAGTAATGTTTCGATTTCAGAAAGGAAATCCACATGCATGTGTTAACATCATCTGGAGCCACACTGTGACAATCTAACTTGACTCTCATACGGTACATTCTAACTAATCTCATGTAAATGTGTGTCTTTGTTTCAGCCTTGCAATGAAGACATCCAGAGTTTGTACACACCCATCTGTGCTGAGGCTTCCCCCTCCTTGTGACTGAAGCAAGAGGGATTTCTCACCAGAAGCAGCAGTGAAGGGTTACCCAAGTCTGAAGAGTTCTACTCTGACATGGTACATTCTTCACACTCACACACACCCTTTATTTCACACACTAGGTGAATGCAAATGGCATTTAATTTACACCAGGGATTTTTATCAGCACTTGCATCTGACCGACAGTGCCATTATAGTGCTGATGATAATCAATCTCAAATCAATTAGGGAGTAATTGCTGAGTCAATCGGGTAGGCTGGTTAAATATTGATAAGTGTCTAAAAGGCCCATCAGGCTCTATTGACAGCTCAGAGAGACAGACAGCACTGGTTTAGCTAAGGGTGGGGGGGCTGATGGAGAGATGGCTTAGGGGCTTGGGTCACATTCTCTACTCAAGCTGGCTACTCTGGTAATCGATGCAGACCTGCTCTCTCTCTCTGGCTCTGTTCTCTGCTCATAACTTCTATTACTGTTGGAAGTACCTGTGTTAGGAAATCAACATCTAGTGCTTAAGACAAAACATTTAGCATTACTTCATCTATGAACCTATTTTGTGCAGCTTTATCAGATCCTATATACTATATATAAACTATACATAAGTAATGCAAAAGCAAGCATGCTGCTTCTTTTGGAATGAAGACATCATTTCTTCTGCACATCTTCATACCTCAAAGATCCTGCGGTCCTGTGTCCTGGATCGCGAGCCCTGGATCTTGAGTCGTGGCTGTGGTCCTGGATCATAGGTCCTGGATGGATATCCTCGTAGATTCATCTTCCTATTATACACACATGCATTTCCAAACATTTGTAAATGTATTATCTTTTCAATTTACACACGGCATCTATTGCACGTCTGTCCGTCCTGGGAGAGGGATCCCTCCTCTGTTGCTCTCCCTGAGGTTTCTCCCATGTTCCCTTTAAACTGTGGGTTTTCTCCGGACGTTTTACCTTGTACGATGTGAGGGTCTAAGGACAGAGGGTGTCGTATTGTCATACTGATACTCTGTACAAACTGTGAAGACCACTGAGACAAATGTAACATTTGTGATATTGGGCTATATAAATAAACATTGATTGATTGATGCCCATCAGAGCATCCAGGCACTATGTCTGCAATCCTGTCAAATCGAGGCAAACTTGCCAAAAATAAATCTGGAATTTCATGTCTTTGTGCAACACTGCCCTGGTCATAGCGAATAACTTTAACTTTAGTCGAGTCTCTGTTTAACATGATCGATTGGACATGTGCAGGGTGTTTTTTAATTGATCAGGGCACATTGTGGTGTTTTGAACGACGTAGCTTATGTGTGATTATTGTGTGTGGATTTGGTGTCAGCTTGACCTTTCTCAACAATCGGCTCCTGCAGCACACCAACTGCAGTACTGCACTCTCTTTGGTACCATTTGTTCCTCTGCATTTTAACCGAGTAACCCTCTGTCTAGCAGCATGCAGTGAAGAGTTCACTGCCCTTCCCAACCACACTCCTTTGTGACGTTTTCTTCGGCCACATTTCAGAATATAAGGAATGTCGTTTTATGACCGATATATTGCCCTAAAAACCATGGGTCTGATCTGAGCATGAAATAAGATACTCTCTGAACGTTATTATGCTATTTTATTGACCTTGTTGTTTTCTTTCTTTGCTAGGTAAGGCCTGAAAAAACCTTAATATTGATAATGCAACAATATTGTTAGGTTGACTATCGGTGCTTTCACAAAATATATATTACAAATAAGAGTTTTATAAATAATCATCACTTATGTGGTTCTAATGATTAAATGGGTAACGGCTTATAATATAACAACTATGACAGTCATGTTAATCAGAAAAGTACTTTTTTTTTACTCTAAGGCAGGAAAAGACAATACTTCTGCCAGTACGTTAATACGATCTAGTTTAGTCAGGATATCAATACACATCTTGAGTAATAGTTCCGTAATGTAAGCAGTGTTTGAAAGATGCAGGATATTAATGTATTCACTACTGGCACAAACTTTAGTATTGTCAGTTTAAATATCTCTTTTAGTAAAAACTGAACTGAAAATATCAGAGTATACTGTCAGTGTTGGCATTTGAAACACATTTTAGAAGACCCTAGTCTTTGCCAATTGCAGTTTGAGTTACATTGAGACTGAAGCTTAAGAGAGGAGATGAGCAAGGACTTTGCTCTAATTATCATGCCGGCTAAACATGCTGTGTCGGGTAAATGGTGTTTGCAACAGGCGCAACCTCTGGCTGCATGCTTATAGCAGCTACTTCCTGACACTCCCAATCAGCTTGATTGATTGGATCCCAAGCCCCTCCCTAACTCTGATTGGCAGCTTAATGACAAGGGGGAGGAGAATAACTAAGGGAGATGGGGCATTCTATGGTACAATAGCTAATCCAAAGTACGTTTTTGTTCTCTAGATGTATGCAAATGGTTCAGTCGTCAGTCTGCGATAAAGGTACCATCAGACACATATTCATTCATAATAATCTGTTCTTCGGCCTTCCCAAAACTGTCACATCTATCAAGATTAGGTGAATGGTGAAGCCCAATTCTCCCACAGAATGAATCAATCTCACTGAATGCCTAGAACAACTGATGCCGACTGTCCAAGTGACTCGTGGTATAACCAGCACTGACAAATATTCAAGGCTCATACCGAACTGCTGATTAGACAGCTCAGTGATCCATCTTCTGAAGACAACACTGACAGTCATGTTAGCATCCATCTGTGTTTGTTTCTCACAGGCAGATAATACAATTAGAGACTTTTGAGAAGGGCATTTAGCCCATGATTTTCTATAAACCCTTTTACTTTTAAAATCATAAATCAAATCCGGGGTTCCTAGCTTGGCTTTCTTCTTTGATGCTGGCGCTTCCTTGGTGCCGTGTTTGTTTTGGCTCGACTAGGATGTTAGATGCCTCTTACTGTCATTTCTACAGTAGGTAGTTTTTTTACAGAAGAACATCAACAAAGCAGTTTCCTCTAACCTTTTTGTAGTGTGCTTAAAATCTATGACACATTGCGTGCTGTCATCTGATGGAACTTTGCTGCCTGCATTAAATGGTAACTCTGAAGTTCTTAATTCAATTCAATTCTTTGAGTCACAGTGCACTCAGCCTGCTCTCATCTCCAGCTTTCATTCTACTCAAATGTATTGTTTTCATATAATATCCTTTCAGTGATAAATAGGTGCTATATCATTTTTGATCTAGGTAACAGCCTCCCAATGGAGTAAATTGTTTGTAATCAGAGAATTAAAGGAGCATTTAATCTTAAAAGGCTTGTCGTGTGAAATAGCTTTGATGTGAGCTAATTCAATATGAACGTAACCGGAGGGCACTTAAGATGGAGATTGGGGTTGCGATAAGAGGTGCCTTTGGAATACTAGCATAGAGTTGGCACACCCAGTGAAGACTAATCGTGTAAAGGAAATCTTTTCTTTGAACCCTTCCCGAATAAGATGAATTAACAGCAGCTGATTGCATGCCACTATAGAACTTGTGCCAAAAATGGCTTGCGTGCTATATTACATTACATTACATTACATTTAGCTGACGCTTTTGTCCAAAGCGACTTACAATAAGTACATTCGACCAGGAAGACACAACCTTGAAGAAAACAGAATCATATAAGTACATCAGGTTTCATAGAGCCAAACATTTCAAGTGCTACTCAACTGGCTTTAGGTAAGCCAGTCCTTTATTAGTATAAAAGTGCTTCGTTAATAGTTCTAACGCTCGAAGTGGAGTCGAAAGAGATGAGTTTTCAGTTTGCGCCGGAAGATGTGCAAGCTATCTGCCGTCCTGATGTCAATGGGGAGCTCATTCCACCATCTTGGAGCCAGGACAGCAAACCCACGTGTTTTTGCCGATGGGAACTTTGTACATCAGTAATTGCCTGCCATAGAGTTGGTATTGGAATGTGGAACGACGGATCAGCTTTTTACTCTCGCAAGGATCCTGGAGGGGGCCTGGGAGTACGCTTATCCGGTCTACATGTGTTTTGTAGACTTGGAGAAGGCGTATGACCGAGTTCCCAGGGAGTTACTGTGGGAGGTGCTGCGGGAGTATGGGGTGAGGGGGTCTCTACTCAGGGCCATCCAATCTCTGTACTCCCAAAGCGAGAGCTGTGTCCGGGTCCTCGGCAGTAAGTCGGACCCATTTCCGGTGAGGGTTGGCCTCCGCCAGGGCTGCGCTTTATCACCAATCATGTTTGTAATATACATGGATCGGATTTCGAGGCGTAGTCATGGGGGAGGGGGTCTGCAGTTCGGTGGACTAAGGATTGCACCACTGCTTTTTGCAGATGATGTGGTTCTAATGGCTTCATCGGTCTGCGACCTTCAGCACTCACTGGATCGGTTCGCAACCGAGTGTGAAGCGGCTGGGATGAGGATCAGCACCTCCAAATCTGAGGCCATGGTTCTCAGCAGGAAACCGATGGACTGTCCACTCCAAGTAGGGAATGAGTCCTTACCCCAAGTGAAGGAGTTCAAGTATCTCGGGGTCTTGTTCTCGAGTGAGGGAACAATGGAGCGTGAGATGGGCCGGAGAATCGGAGCAGCGGGAGCGGTACTGCAGTCGCTTTACCGCACCGTTGTGACGAAAAGGGAGCTGAGCCAGAAGGCAAAGCTCTCTGTCTACCGGGCCATTTTGGTTCCTACCCTCACCTATGGTCATGAAGGATGGGTCATGACCGAAAGAACGAGATCGCGGATACAAGCGGCCGAGATGGGTTTTCTCCGCAGGGTGGCTGGTGTCTCCCTTAGGGATAAGGTGAGAAGTTCAGTCATCCGGGAGGGACTCAGAGTTGAACCGCTCCTCCTTCGCGTCAAAAGAAGCCAGTTGAGGTGGTTCGGGCACCTAGTTAGGATGCCACCTGGGCGCCTCCCTAGGGAGGTGTTCCAGGCACGTCCAGCTGGGAAGAGACCAAGGGGTAGACCTAGCACCAGGTGGAGGGATTATATCTCTTCGCTGGCCTGGGAGCGCCTTGGGATCCCCCAGTCAGAGCTGGTTGATGTCGCCAGGGAAAAGAAAGTTTGGGGCTCTCTGCTGGAACTGCTACCCCCGCGACCCGACCACGGA